GCGACTATCTGTCGAATGTCGGTCAACTGTCGACCGATAATCGGTTGATAGTCGGTCGATAGTCGACCGACAGTCGACCGATAGTTGACCGATATATCGGTCGACTGTCGACCAATATATCGACCGAGTCCACCTATAGTACACATGATCCATTTGCTCTAGACTTTTACTGTAAATATCTCTGCAGGGTTTAAAAAGTGTATCTTAAAATACTTAATAGGCGGATAGTACACCTTCCAGGCTACACAGTGGTATATATTGGTGTTTTTTTAGTCAGCCATCTTCAATTAAATTTTAATGTAATTATAACTCAGAGAATCAAACCATTTCCAACGAAATTTTCCCTGCTGCTAACATGCATCAAGGGCTTTGCAACTGTATATAAATATTATAAACAAGTGTTGATGTTACGTTGTGATAAGCACATCATTTTTTGCATAAATTAACCACAGAATCACTAATAAAACAGCACAAAATCATCAATAAAGGAACCTAGTTACACAATTTTACACTACAAAGATTCCTTTTAGTGTTAACTAACTCATACATACAGCTAAAGCTCCTCAAGTTCTGAAAACGAGGTCCTTCAATAAGGACATTCAAATTGCACCCTTAACTTTGATTGGATAGTACACAGAAGCATTTACCTTTTTCCCACTTACGAAGCGTATCTGTAGTGACTTAATACTCTTATCTACCTTTCCTGACAGTTGGATTGCTTTTATTTAGTCTCCTAAGGGTGTACACAGTATTATTATATGGAATAAAAAAGGCGTGTACTTACCCTTCCAAGGCCTTGAGCAACTGGGACCTCAGGTATGATGCATGAAATTTGAGTATCTTTAAAAATTCATTGTTCCTTTGCATTTTAACATTAATAGTTCAGACTTGATACATAGCTTGCTACACTATTTTCACTTCAACATCTGAGAAGGAATTTTTCACAGTCATTTGTTATGTCTGTCTTAGCTGTACCGGAGGTACCCCTAGATTCCCCTCAATAGCACCACAGCACTTCAACTCTAAAGACCTTTTGTCTGCTTCCATTTTAGTTTCTAAGAATTCTGATTATGGGACTAAAACAACAAAGAATTAAAATGAATCTGCTAGAACAATCGGGGTCTGAGCTTTTAAACTGACCAAGTTATAACCTTGTAGAGAAGGATCAAAATCAAAAAAAAAGTGCACTTTCCTTCCTTTTTCAAAATTGATAAAAACTTATGTTGAACCTCAACGTAATGTTACTCAAGGACTAAGTAAACCACTCAAAGGGCTACTTCTGCGTTCAATTAATCTGCTATTTAATGTTGTTTCAAGGTAGAAAATCAGTTTTAAATGATAACCATAAAAAATGCGCTTTTGTGGAAAACTTGTGACATTGTGTGACATTTTAGGGACTCACATGCTCACTCTAGCTTTATGAGCTTGCGAGTTTATTCGTATTCTTTTATTTTGATGATGGACTGTTGATTCGAAGACTTATTGATTCTTATGTTGATTTATTAGGACATGTTTTACATCTTACTTAGGATATCAGATGTTATTGTGTAGAACATTCTAGAACGTTTGAGAACAGGCTTAAAATAACTTTGGATCGGATTTCAAGTTGTCGTGTGGACTTCTGTAATATGCCAAAGGTTTAGGTTCAACAACCCTTTTTTACCTGAGTTCTGGATATCAGCCCCTCAGGGGTCCCCAGAGGCTGATTTTCAGTGTAATTTTGGCCGCTTTTCAATCTCTCTTTTAGCAACGTAAAATTAACTTTAGGGAAAACCGAAACCATATTTGTAATGCCCTATCCTTGGGCGTTTCTGGGTGAAAACATTAGCTCACGGGAATTTTTTGTTAGCCTGTGGCTGTTTCACAACTTGGTCCTATTCAAAGCATATGGGAAGGAACCGCAAGTGGCCTGTTGTTCAGACCGCATATTTTCCATGCCCATGTTTTATACCTTGAAATCTTAGTATCCCTGCAAAGTTCAGCCCTTAGTCTAGTAATATCAAGAAAAAAATACTAAGGTTGAAGCTTTTTTACAATGAAACAATTTGAGAGAAATTATCTACTACGCAGTTCCTGTCAAAGTCTTAATTCCTTATTAGGAGGGATTTTTAGACACCAGCCACACAATTAACAACCAATCAGTGATTCCAAAGTAAATTATTTAAAGGAAATATATTTCCAAACCATTAACTAGAGATTGATTTTCCTACTGATGGTTTTGAAACTAAATTTTATACAGCATTTGTACCCTGTAACCAGGGTACGGGAAGTTGAGGGGGAAACTTTAAATGTTGATAACAAGAAAAGTAATCAAAATACATTGAAACGAGCTATATTACTGAGTATATAAGTTAGGTGGAAAAAGCTGAGCCAAAAAAAGCCTTATTCATGGAACTCTGCCTTGTTTCCATGGCAACCTTGGTTTGTCAGGCATAACTATCCTAAGTTTGAGTTTTCTCCTGTAATTCTCTGTTTTTATTATTATTATTATTGACGTTTTCAAGTTCCTTGGGACAAAAATAGTTTTTGCCTGGGCAAAGTATGCTTCAATACCAACTAGATAAAAACTGTTCTAAATGCATCATCTACCTGTGTTTTCAACAAGAAAAGACAGCCAAAACCCCTGTGACATTTCCATTTAAGAGCTGTTGGAAGACGGAATGATAAAGATCAACGATGGAGATGAAATTGAGCAGTTTTTTGAAGTAAGTGTCCGAATAAAAGTGAGAGATACTTTGTCTAGTGTTGCGACTAGTTGTAAACATTCTCTAAGATTTTTTGTAATCCAATCTGTTAGTTTTACTTTTCTGAGTTGCATCAGAGTTGCAATATGAGGGCTCTAAGTGGAGACCAGGATGGTATGTTTCAGAGTGCTTTTGGATTACAGCCACTCTTCCTTATCCAGATATTCATTCATTCATTCATTC